ACACAAAACAATGCTAATCTTGTATATTGTAGGTGCTCAGTAAATTTTTGTTGAATTTAAATCTACTTTACAAAATGATTAAATTATTTTTTACCACAAATATACAGTATAGTAGCTTCTTTTACACCCAAGGTTACTCTGTATCAAGTAGTATGTTGACCAGAACTTAGTTCCATCATGTATATGTAGCTTGTGGTTAAGTGGAAGTTGGGCTCAATAATCAATCAACCACATACTAAGCGCCGATTGTGTGCTAGGCAGTGTGTTAATAATACAAATACAAAGAATGAAATAATCACTGTTCACAAGAATTTATGAGGAAGAACATAAATACATATATAAATCTGTACAGAATAAATACACAGCAGTGAAATACATAATACGTAGTTTGGAAAGGAGGCTATGAGCAGTCTGGGGATCAGGAAGCTGCATTTTTGAAGGAGAGAAGAACTCCAAAGGGTAAGGAGTGCATTCCAGACCTGGGAGACAGCCAATGCAGAGGGAGTGAGGTGGGAAATGAATGGAATGTTGTAGTTGAGAATAATAGAGAGAAGGCTAGCTTGGCTGGGTCACAGAGTACAGGAGCAGTAATGTCCATTGAGGTTGAAAAGGTAGATTGGGACCAGGATATGAAGGACCTGTAAGAGTAAACAGAGTTTATCTTTGAACCTATGAGTCATAGAGACCACTGGAGTTGATTGAATTAGGGGAATGAAATGACTGGATTTGCACTTAAGAAAATCACTCTGGCAGTTGGGGGGATGATGGACTGAAATGGGGAGAGACTTGAGGTAGGGAGACCAAAAGAGGCTATTACAGTAATCTTGGTGAGAGGTATTGAGGGTCTGAACTAAGGTGGTGGCTGTGTGAATAGAGAGGGGTCAGATATGAAAGATAATTGTGAAGGCAGTAATAGCAAGATTTAGAAACTGATTCGATATATAGGGTGAAAGAGTGTGGGGGGTCCAGGATAATGCCAAGGTTATGAATCTGGGAGATTAAAAATATTGTGGTTCCTTCAACAGAAATAGAAAAGTTTGGAAAAGAATAGCGTTTTGGAGAAAGACAATGAGTTCACTTTTGGACTTAATGAATTTGAGTTATCTCTTAGAAATCCATTTTGAAATGTCTAATAAACAGTTGGTGATATGGAACTGAATGTCAGGAGAAAGACCAGGGCTGGATATATAGATTTGGGCATCATCTGCATGGAAATGATAATTAAACCTCTGGCAGCTTGTGAGGTTACCAAAAGAGAGACTGTAGAGAAAGAAGATGGTCCAAGACAGAACCTTGAGGAACATCCACAGTTAGGGGACTTGATATGGATAATCAGCCAGGAAAGGAGATGGAAGAGGGAGCTTCAGGTAAGAGGAGAACCAGGAGAGAGCAATTTCACAAAAACCCCAAAAGGAGAGAGTATTCAGGAGTAGAGGGTGGACAATATTGTTATTACACAGCAGACAAGTTGAGAAAGATGAGTACTTAGCAGAAAAGACCCATCAGATTTAGCAATTTTGATAATTTTGAAGAGAACACTTTCAGTGGATGTTGAGATTGGAACCCAGATTGCAGAGAGTTGAAGAGTGAGTGAAAGGATAGGTAGAGGCAAGAGTATGGATAGCTTTTTCTAGGAGTTTGAGTGAGAAAGGAAGAAGAGATACAGGACCATAGTTTCAGGGGATGGCAGGGTCTAGTGAAGTTGGTAGAAGGGTGGAGGAGACTTGGGCAGGTTTGAAGGCAGTAGGGAAGAAATCAGAAGATAAGGAGTGATGAAAGATTTGAGAGAGGGGATGATTAAGGTTGCATTCTGCAGGAAAAGACAGGAAGGACTGGGATCAAGAACCTATGTAGAGGGATTGGACTTGGCAGGGTAAAGGGCTGTCTCATTGTTAGAGAGTGGGAAAAGAGGCAAGAGGGGGAGAGAATGTTAAGGAGTTTTGAGAGAAACAGAATGGGAGAAGAGGGAGCTTGAATCAAAGGACCTTCATTTTCTCAGTAAAATAAGAAGCAAGGTCCTCAGCTGAATGGGGAAAGGGAAAGGAAACTTGAAGAGGGAAGAGAAGATTTGGAATAGCTTCTGTGAGAAGTGAGATAGGGAATATTAGTCAGAAATGAAAGGACTTCCTTGTTGTAGCAGGGCTCAGTTGAAGCTGGTACTGTCACTTTATGTGACATACCCAATAAGAATAGTTGTGCGACTTCCTCTAGCTCCATTCAGCAGGGGTGAATAGGAACAGAGGAAGCCCATGGGGAGAGTAAGCTAGGGCTGAGTTTTGGCAAGCAGTGAGTGGTCTTAGCACATGCGGGCAAGGGATTTGAGAGCAGATGACATTGTAGTGTTGGAAATAAATAACTATAGAGTCAGGCTTGGAAAGGAAGGAAAGTGTAATCAGAGCAGGGATAGTGACCTGAGAAAACACTGAGAGTTAGGGATTTAGGAAGTCTCAGTGAGGGTAAAGAAAAGGTTTAGGAGGGGTGAGGCATGGGGAACAACTGAATGAGAGAACAGTATGGTCAGATAGAGGAATATGAAACATTTCTAATTAAGGAAATGGAACACTTGTAGGTAATGGTCAAATCCAGTGTGTGACCATCTCTTTGTGAATTTGAAGTGGCATGAAAGAAAAGGTCGTGACGTCTAAGGAAGTTTAGGAGTTGAGAGGTTATACATTTGAAGAAAGCATCACTGTGCATGTTGAAGTTCCCAAGTATAAAGGTAAAAGAGCAGAAAGAAAGGTGGTGATCCAGGTGCCAAACTCCTTGAAAAAGGAAGGAGAATGAGCTGGGGACTGGTATACAATAGCCATTATGATATGCATTAGGTGGGAAATTGTGATAGAGTGGACTTCAAAGGAAGAGAGATTCCTAAGGGCTGGTGGTAAAGTGATAGAGTCTAGAAGTAGCAGTGGGGAACAAGGAATATTGCAAATCACCCTTATGGGGCCAGTGTTTCTAGAGTGGGTGGGAATATGTGTTGTTTGAGAAGGCCAGTGCTGGAGAGGATAGCCAGGGTATGCAGTACCATGAGGGATAAGAGGTTACAGTGAGAGCTAATAGAGAAGAATGCAAGAGAAAAGGTCCAGAATGAAGGGAAATGTGTTTCTCATGGAACAGGAATTCCAAAAGATACAGTAGAAGGGGCAGAAAGGGAGACATGGTTGGGGTAGGATGGGAAGGATAGGAATGAGAATAGGAGATTTGGGTAGGGAATAGTTTGCTGCTACATGACTAGTGATGAATACAGGGCTAGGGAAGGAAAGAGGGTGTGGGAGATTATTAGCCATAGGGATGGTATTGGGCAGCAGGTGAATTGTAAACCTCGTAGTCTCCAAGGAGTGTTTCAGAGGGGGTGCCTTGGCCTGGGTCTCAGCTCAGCTTAGGCTTGCTGCTGCAGCTGCAGCTGCTCCTTCTTTAGGTGGGAGAGAGGCAGGACAGAGCTGAGCAGAACAGAATGGTGGGCAGTGGTTGGCTGAACCTTGATCTGCTGAGTCAGTAGCACAAATTTTATTTTCATGGGAAAGCATAACAAAAGGCAGGCTGCTGAATTACTCTGCAATCTACTCTTTCTTTCACTTACGTTCACTAGAAATAGAATGGGTATGTTCCAAGTCCATAGGAGAAACAACTGCTACCTGGTTTTAAGTTGAAACAAAAGGAGAGAGACAGCGTTTAAGGGTGATGTCAAACCTCAAATTGACACCAAGGTGATTAAGAGGTCTTTCTTAAAAGTATATAGGATTCAGAAAGATTTTTGTGTCTTTGGAAAAAATGGTGGTTTTCTTTTGTTCTGTTCTTATAAACAACCTATTTTTTGCTTTCTACATAAATCCTTGTTTTTGGAAGATGTATTCATTACTATTAACTACATTTTATGCGTCTATATTTTTAAATTTTTCTTTGAAAAATCCTTGTATATGTAGCTAGTTCAGTAGGTAGAACACCAAAGAAAAGCTCCTTTAAGATAAGGCCTGTGTTTATTTTTATATTTATATTCCTAGATCCTAGCTCAATGTTTTGCATATGGTAGGTACTTAATAATAAAATTGATTTGAATTGAATTGAACTTTCATGTCCTCAACAGGTATCAGTTGTACTTGAGGAAAAGAGTGGAACTTATGTTACCCTCTTAAGAGTAGATAGCCAGCCATTCACTTGACAGTTTTTCTGAGGCTTTTATGTTAATAGCTCAACTTAAATAATGCTTTATTGTTTCCCATGCTTTCCACACATCTCATTTGACATAAACTGATAGAGCTGGAAAGGACCAAGGCATCTTTTATAAAAGTAGCCCCGTAGCTTCATTTTACGGATGAAGTCCAGAGAGTTTAAGTTACAAAAGAGTGTCCTTGGTCAGGGACACACAGCTAGTTAGGAAGTGTTAGGTAGTTAGGTAGTTAGGTAGAGTGAAGACTACATGTTGTCCTGGAGAGCCGATGATTTTCTGACCAGGACAATGTGTACTCTTCACTGTGGTGAAGACTAGCGTTCCTTCCACTATGCATACTATGTGCTGATGCTTCAAACATGAGAAGTCGCATTAACAGAATAACTTTAAACATTTTAGGGTATAGTAGCACTAGAAGAGGTTAATCTTGTGAAATAATTATTTTGTATATATTACAGAAAATCACCTCGCCATATATTCCATTCAGATTTTCTTGCGTTGGATTTTTGTAAAGTGGGGCCACCTGTAATCATCATTCTTTTAAATTAAACGCTAGTCAAATTGTTGAATCTAATTTGAAAATTGAATTTTATAAAGATATTAAGCACTTATGTCCTATTTAGTAAGCACTAAAGGAAATTTATATAACTAATGTGCTCTTTTTCTTTTGCATCACTATTATTTTGGCAAGGTATAGATAATTTAGTATTTTAGGATTTTTTAAAAACTTATTTGGTAGTTGTACATTTTCATTTTCAAGTTGTTACTATTAAATATTAATGTCAACTTATAACAACCAATTATTAATTTATGTATATTTTTTGCTTCCTAGAGATCACTTGGCTTCTGAAGGAGCAAATAATAAGGTACTAAAATGAAATTTTCTTTGAATGCGCATATGTCCTGTAGAATGACGAACTTATTTGCACATTTGGATAAATATAAACGTATAGTATATAGAGGGCATAGGAGGCATAACAGAGAGGGGGCTGACTTTGGAGCTGGGCACATAATAGACACATAGTCTGACCCTGAGCAACTCAGCGTGTTCCTCGATGCTCTAGGCCTCTCTCTAAGATGACAAATTGTAGAGAAGGTGTCTTCCAGCTTTGATGGAGGGAATTCCCTCACCAGGGAGTTCTCTATATCAGTGAAATCACATGTCCCTATCCCTATAGAGGGCATATGTAGCAAGGTCATGGTTAGTAGAAATAATATGTGTTTTGGAAGAGTTACCTACAAAGTGAATTTCTGTACATCGATTCCTTTTCTCTATTGAATTCTCTGACAAAAATCAGAGCTGCCTTCCGTGGAATAGAAAAAAAAAAGTTATTGTGGACTGAGTATCCGTACAGCCTAATGGATTTCCGCTAGAATCAAAAATTTTTCCTTCTGAAGTGGCAAAAATTTGGTTGTATGACAGATCCAGTGATACAAGGTGAACAGAAAGAATATTTGAAGTCTTATAGCTGTGGCCCTCCTGCTGCAAATAGAGTCTTAGACAAAAGAAGTTTACATCTTGACGTTAAAGGAGAAAAGAGAAAGACCTTTAATATTTGAAACTAACCTGTCCCTGTGAGCAAGTGATTGGTTAGTAAGAAAGGCTTAGTAGCTACTTAATATTCTTTACATCCATTTGACCTTTAAATTGTGAGACCTGAGCTCTAGTGATAGCTTTGCCACTGAGAAGTTAGGGCCATGTCATTTAACCTTTCTGGGTTCAGCTTTACTCATCTTTAAAATGAAAGGTGTGGGATGATTTATAATGTCACATTCAACTTTAAAATTCTGATTCTTTTGCCCTCAGAATTCTCCTTCCACTATGACTATTTATTGAATAAAAAACAGTAACTCTGCTGTGCATGTAAACAGCAAGCCTATATGTGATAAATGTATCATTTGGAAAATGACTGATGCTGATTAATTGCTAGTTTATTTTTCCCCTAGCAACCAAAGATCCATAAGTCTGATCCTATGACTGAAATTCAAAACAAGCCACAGTCTGGAAATAAAGGAAAGAGAAAAGCTTCAAGGTATACATTTTTTAAGTCTTATTTTCATTTTCTAGTTTCCAAAACCTAGCAATATCATCACTGTGAATAATTGATCTTTCTGAACTTCTCCACGTCTTCTTGTTGTTATTCAGTTGTGTCCGACTCTGTATGACAAAGTCCGTTGGGTTTTCTTGGCAAAGATACTAAAGTGATTTGCCATTTCCTTCTCCATTCGATCAAGGCAAACAGAAGTTAAGTGACTTGCCCAGGGTCATACAGTTAGTAACTAAGGCTAGATTTGAACTCTGGTCTTCTTGATTCTAGGCCCAGTGCTCTATCTGCTGTGCCACCTAGCTGCCTCCTTTTCCATACCTACTCTTACCTTATAGATGTAATTTTATACACACACACACACACACACACACACACACACACACACACACACATCATACCTATTTTCATACATTTAAAACATTGGAGTCGGTGATGTCTTGCAGCAGCCCACTAATGACTATGTAATGTAGTCATAAGTAAAATTGCTTAATTTCTTATTATTAATTTAAGGTAAACTGGCTTCTCAGAGGAGCTAGGACAAGTTTCTTGACCCCACCATTTAGCGTAATGCTTGGCACATAGTAATCACTAAATAATTTTTTTTTCATTCATTCCCGGCCTAATTTTTTGTCCACTATACAGTTATCCCTTCCACGTTATGGGGTCTAAGGGCATGGCACCTCCACAATCTGAAAAGATCTGGAAAATCCATGTAAAATTTTTTGGTCCTGCCTTTGTACCAGAGAAGTATCTGTTTTTTTCTTTTTCTTTTATGGGGTGTTTACAGTACCTTATTGTAAAATTTGGATCGAGTATTTGGTCATAGGCTATATTACACAATACTATACATATATTTTATGCATTTCTGAGTTTCTAAACTTTTTCTGTGTCCTCTGCTGGCTTCTGTGTGTTGTCTACAGCTTCTGCAAAAAATTCCCATTTAATTTCTTATGCCAACCCGTGATATATTGAAACCACAATGGGGAAAATCACAATATGGAAAGGATAACTGTAGTAGGCTTCTTCAATTTTAGATACTTAATAAAAGCACTACAAATCATTCTAGTCAATTGAGAATATGATCTGACATAAACAGTACTGAATTTAATTTGAATCAGGTCTTAATATATTTAAATTTTACTTTCTGATTTTAATTTTTGTTTTCAATTCTAAATTTTTCCCCTCTGTCTACCCCCTGCCCATTGAGAAGACAAGAAACACAATGCCCATTATACATGTGAAATCGGGCAACCTGTGTTGCAAAAAAGAAAGGCAGAAAAATAAAGTAAAAAAAGTATGCTTCATTCTGTGTTCAGAGTTCATCAGTTCTCTCTCTGGAGGTGGATAGCATTTTTTATCATGAGTCTTTTGGAATTGTCATGGATCATTGTATTGATCAGAGTAGACAAGTCTTTCACAGTTGATCATTGCTACAATATTGTTGTTACTATGTACAGTGTTCTCCTAGTTCTGATTACTTTACTTTGCATCAGTTCATACAAGCTTTTTCTGAACTTCTTCTGAAACCTTCCCCTTCATCGTTTCTTATAGCACAATAGTGTTCATCACATTTATATACCATAACTTGTTCAGCCATTTTCCAATTGATGGGCATCCCCTCAATGTCTATTTCTGTGCCACTACAGAAAGAGCTGCTATAAATATTGTTGTACATGTAGGGCCGTTTTCTTTTTCTTTGATCCATTTAGGGTATATTATTAGTAGTGATATAGTGGTATTGCTGTGTCAAAGTGTATGCACAGTTTTATGGTCCTTTGGGCATAGTTCTAAATTGTTCTCCAGAATAGTTGGACCTGTTCACAACTCCACCAACAGTGGATTAGTGTCCCAGTTTTTCCACATCCTCTCTGTCATTTGTCATTTTCCTTTTATATCATGGTAGCCAATCTGACGAATGTGAAGTAATACTCAGAGTTGTTTTAATTTGCATTTCTCTAATTATTAGTGATTCAGAGCATTTTTCATATGACATTGACATCTTTGATTTCTTCTGAAAACTGCCTGTTGAAAGTATCCATTTTATCTCCTGTGATCCTCTCTGTCTCTTATTTGGTCATGAATTCTTTCTGCAGGGTAGGGCACATAGGGCCAAGAGGGGGAGTCAGCATACGCTTTGTTTAGAGTAATTTTTTACAGGTATTTGGAGGGGTTTGGGGGAGAGCTCAAGCAAATCACTGCTTTTACTCTGCCATCTTGGCTCTGCCCCCTGTAACAGATTTAAAAAGAACAGAAGAAGGTGTATTTTCTCATCTCTTTTCTGCAAAGAAGAGAAGGAAGGTGCATTTCCTCATCTCTTCTCTAAACCCCAAGCTTAATTATTATAATTATATAGCATTTAGTTTCCTTTTTTGTTCTTTCTGTTTATGTTGATATAATCGTTGGTTTTTAATACTTTTCTGGTTCATGCTGCATCAGCCATATGTCTTCTCATGACTCTAAATTCTTCATATTTATTGTGTAATAATATTCTATTACACTTGGGTACCACAATTTATTTAACTATTCTGTAATTTATGGGTAGCTACTTTGTATTTCCAATTATTTGCTAATACAAAAAGGTGCTGTTATGAATATTTTGGTGTATGTGGAACTATACTTGCTACATTTGACCTTCTTGGGTCTATCTCTGACATTATCTTTAATGGCATAGTTATTCACGTTGAGAATGCTTCTGACACTTTGGCCTCCCATTCATCAACTTTTACTTCCATTATGTATACCTCTACTCTTCAGGAGATCCTCGTACCTTAGAACTTATCCTCTCCCCAAACTCTTCTCCCTCCAAGACCTTCAAATCTGAAATTCCCTCTGTGATCATAATTCATATTGTCCTGTCTTTCTATCTCTCTGCTGTCTCATTTCTTCTGAACCTTCCCTTTGTCCTCATTGACACCTCTAGTCACTCCTATTCCTCCCTATTCTCCTGATTCATCACTTCTTTTCTTGCCTCCTTTTCTTCATAGTCTTGATATTATTGCTAGCCAGTTCAATAAGGCATTGTCCTCTACACTTGAATTGCTTATTCCTTTTACTTTCTGCCATTTCCTCCCTATTCTTCTGCTCCACCCTGGTTCATCTTTACCATCCATGTTCTCTGTTTCTCTTCCCAAGCTGACACATGCTGCTGGAGGAGGTTGTAAACTGTGTTGGGTGGATCCCCTTCAACTGGACCCTTATCACTATAGAGTTTATACCCTTTTATTCACTTTATTAATTCCTAAACAGACTTCTGAGAGTGACTGTTCCGTACCTTTTCTCTCTCCCCAAGCCTCACTTTCTTTTCTCAGATGATCATTCCTTCTACTTTACTGAGAAGAGGCCAGCTGTCATGAGTTCCCTTATGTCTGATCCCTCTTTGCCCATTGTCTCCTCCAGTGTTCCAGTCTAAGAGGGTGAAAAGGCCTTCCTGTTTGTGAGGCTAACCCTTCCACCTTATTCTCTAGATTGAATCCCCTCTAGGAACCTTCCCGTTGATCATTTTCTCTCTCTCTTTCATTTCTACTCCCTCTTTTTTTTAAGGCAATTGGGGTTAAGTGACTTGCCTAGGGTCACACAGCTAGTGGCAAGTGTTTGGTCTGAAGACGGATTTGAACTCAGGTCCTCCTGACTTTAAGGCCGGTGCTCTATCCACTGCACCACCTAGCTGCCCCCTACTGTCTCCTTCTTTATTGGCTCCTTCCCTGATGTGTATAAGCATGCCTCTATCTTGTCAATTTTAACACAAACACATTTGCTTGATTCTTTCATCCCCTTAAATTATCATATTATAGATCTCATTATTGCATTTCTAGAATGCATATTCTACATGTTGCCCCTACTTCTTAACCTTCTAACCACTCTTTAAACACTTCAGTCTCACTTATGACTATTCATTATACAGAAAATGTTCTGTGGGATCACTAATGATAATGTCATTCCATATACAAACTAGAATAGAAAAAGAGGATAACATGAAACTATGACTCTCTCTTATGTATAGCTTGCTTCATAAAAAGCACATAACATAAGGGGCAGCTAGGTGGCGCAGTGGATAGAGCACTGGCCCTGAAGTCAGGAGGACCTGAGTTCAAATTTGGCCTCAGACCACAAACACTTGACACGTACTTGCTGTGTGACCCTGGGCAAGCACTTAACCCCCAATTGCCTAAATAAAAAATAAATAGATAAATTTTTAAAAAGCATATAACATAGCATATTACTCTCAAAGCTGCCTTTCTTGTCTGTGTTTCCTTTTGAATTTCCTTTGTTTTTGTGCATATGTAGAACACTTTAGTTACCCTCTTTTTCTTTCTTTTCTTCATTTTTTGGCAACACTATTGCTACCTCCCACTCACCCCCTAATGAAGAAAAGAGAGAAGCATAGTCAAGTACCTATGACTTTTTAAATCACTAAATCCAAGGACTCTTTTTCGGTCATTTCCCTGACCTTTCTACAACATAGGATGCTATTGACCACCTCCTCCTCCTCTTGTGTGATGTTTTTCCTTGGTTTCCATGACACCATTCTTTCCTAGTTCTGTTCTCACCTCCCTGATCATTTATTCTTGGTGTCCTTCATTGATTCATCTTCTTCCTGCGGTCTAAGTGTAACTACCACCCCCCAGTTTCTTCTTGGCTTATTCTTCTTTCTTTACATTACCACTCATGGTGATTTCAGCTGCTCAGCAAGTTCAAAACCCAACTGATCATTTTCCCTAAGCCAGTCCATACTCCTAATAGTTAATGTCCATCTTGTGCCCCTACTTATTTTGGAAATTAGAAAATTGAAGTCCAGAGAAGTTAATGACTTAGCCATGGTCATCCTGGTGGTAAGTAGCAGAACCCAGATCCTCGGAGTCCAAGTCCAGACTTCTGTTGATGATTCTACCTCAGCCTCATCTTAAACTCTTCCCTCTCCCTCATCCCTCACATCTCATCTGGTCAAACCTTGTAGAGTCTCCCTGCATGAGGGCAGTACTAGAGCAGCTTTTATCCTCATCTCCCCAGGGCTTGATTCAGGACCTTGCTCATAGCTGGCCTTTACTATGTGCTCGTTGAATTGAATTGCTCTTGCTTTTAAACATTACTTACAAACAAGACTTATCTCAGCTTATCTTAGTAGCCTGTTTCAAAAAGCTTCTCCTTCCCAAGGAATTAGTAAATGGATATTTCTAACCTGAACTTCCTAAGTCTTAAAAATCTCTATCAGTTCTCTTCTGTCTTTTTTGTGGAATATAATCAAAGATAGTTTTTGGTTTATTTTAGTGAAGTTTTAGAACTGTGGTGGGCAATGGAAAGAGGAAAAAGGGGAAATCAAGAGAAAGAGGGAAAGAGACAAAGAGAAAAAGAGAGAAGGAAGAGGTAAGGAGCACGGTGTGTTCTGTAGTGAATGTCAGTGAGAGGTCAGCACGTTGTTTTGACTGCCCATCTCTTGATCCCTTGGGCAATATACATGAGAATTAGGATATTTGAGGTGCACTGGATTCAGGGTCTTTAGACTTGGGTTCAGATTCAGATTCCGTAATACATCTGTGACCTTTGGCAGGTTGTTATATAGTCTTTTTTTTAACCTTTAGTTTTCTCAGCTATAAAAAAGTGATCTCTAATGCACCTTCCTGTTGAACTAATGCACCTTCCTGTTGAACTCCTAAGATGTAAATTGTAGTAACAGTTATAATTCTCGAAAACTTCCATGATTTATTTTCTGCTTTATAAGGAAAGGAAGTGTTTAAGTAATTTTGGGGGTATGTCTGGTTAAGTTCTTACAGGTGTAGCTTGGGTCCTACTCAGTTGTTGGCTCCCTTAAGGCCTTCTATAAATGTCAGTTGTTGTTGTTGTTATTAATTATGTATTAATGACACTTGGGGTAAACATCAACCCAAAACGCAGCTTACAAGTGCCAAGCTGTTTTTTTTTTTACCAGATTAGAGGATACATTAATTTAAAGCAAAATACATTAATTAATAGCTAAATTTAAAGCAATTAAGTAATTAATTAAGTAGCATAGCAAATAAATGTCAAGGACAACTAACCCAAAGTGCCAAGAGGTGTGCTTTTCCATTGATTTCCACCAGTCTTGTGGAGAGCTACCTTCCCTGTGCCTGCTTGCTTCCTTGCCGCTAAGGCTTCTTCTTGCTCGTCTGCTTGGCAAGGGGAAAGGGAGAGAGGGAGAGAGGAAGAAAGGAGGAGAGAGAAAGAAGGAGAGAGAGGGAGGGGGAAGCAGAGAGGGAGAGGGAGGGAGGGAGAAAGGGAAAGGGGGGAGAGAGGGAGAAAGGGAAAAGGGGGGAGAGAGAAAGAGGGAGAGAGGGTTGAGGTGTGGGTGGGGTGAGGAATAGGAGGGTGGCATGGGAGGGGAATCATTTTCTCTGGCTGCAAAGTGCAGGGATCCTCGGCTGCTCTTTTCTCTCTGCCTCCCTACCATCTGCTGGTGTCTCAGCTGAGCTCCTCTCTTCTAGGTCTCCGACACCTGCTGATTCTCTGTTGAATTTAAGTTGTCAGACATCCATCTCAGGTCTTTGAGCTCATCTTTTTTGGACTCAGACCCAGAGCCAGCCAGCCAGCCTGAGGAGCCCTTAGACTTCTGTATTTTCATTGTTTTTTTCTCCCCTGCTTCAGCTGCCCTTATAGGAATTGTCTATTTTTTTTTCTGAGCTAGGGTAAAAAAAATGGCTTTCAACTCCCATTCTGCCCATGGCCCATGCAAATCCCCATGTGAGCTTCACCTGGCAAGACTTGAAGAAGCCAGGAAGGTTGGTGACATGTGTCTGGTCTTCTTGCCAGTTCCTCCCAAGAACAAAAGGAAGCAAAACATTCAGTACTCTTCTGTCCTTTATGAACTGAGAAGTTCCTTTTCAATTTCCTTTTTGAACCAAAGCTTTATTTTCTCATAGAATGCCAAGGACTTTGCATGTATATTAAAACTTATTTAGGTTTTTAGTATTTACTTTACAATTAAAAAGGCATTAATAATTTGCCTGAAAGTCCCTTTGGTATTCAGTGTTTTAGCTAGATTTACTTGGTACGGTGGACTGAGCAAGGGCCCTGGAGTCAGAGGAACTGAGTTCAAGTGTTACTTTTAATGATTGTTTGCTTGTGTGACCCTGGGCATGTAATTTAATCTCTCTTGGCCCCAGGTTCCTCAACTGGAAAATGAGAGTGTTGGATTAGATAGCTAATGAGATCTCTTCTAGTTCTTGAGCCATGATCCTATAATTATTTTTGTTCATTAAAAAAGTTCTACTTTTTCTGAGTTTTCAGGTAAAAATTAGTTTTTTAGACTTAATTCTTTAGTTTGAGTTCTAAGTAGATATGATTTTTAATTGGAACAAAAAAATCTCACAAAAAACCCCAGTAGGACTAAATGAATTAAGTACTGTTTGCATCTCTTCAACAGTTCTTCAAAAGATCCTTTGACACAGCATCTCACATGAATGTAGTTATTTGGTTCTGTAAAGTATGGTCCAGGCAACGTAAGCTCCTATAGCACTTTTCTAGAGCCAAGTTAAAATGAAAAGTCATGAACAAAATTTGGTACGTGAATTCAAGGCTCTCTGCTTCTGGTTTAGATGTTTACCTGGTTAGAAGCAGAGGAATACCTAGCTTACTAAGGACCAGTTCAAGGTCCTGTGATTCATAAAGACCACAATGACTAATAAGATATTTTGTTATGGTACATAACTTGTATATGAAAGTATTCCGTGAAATAATCTTAGATCATATTGTGCATTTTAATTTTGTAGTATTTTAACCTTTTATATCATGCAGTTAAGAGAGACTGTAACCTTTTATGCTTTATATTTTAGTGTAAAATTTAAATGTGCTAATATGCAAACTGCCAATGATGTTGCTGTCCCAGAGGACTTCAAAGACTTTTCACTTACAAACACAATTAATAAAATTGAAGGAAAATTAGAAGAAGGAGATTTTCCTGATGACATAGATGATGATATTTTTCCTGGTCTCAGTGAAGACATTGGAACAGGTAGGATTTCATTAGCTTGGTTTTTTAGGGTGTATATGTATGTATGTGTATTCATGTCACCTCTATTACGTTGAATAAATCTTTGAGGAAAATCAGTTTTCTTGAATTTTCAAAATGTGCTGTAGTTATAGATAGTACTTGACACTTAGTAGGTGCTTAGTAAGTATTTCTTGATTGATTGATGCTTCTTGTAAAGATGTTAAAGTGAAATAAAATGGTTAAAATGGTGATTTAAAGTAACCATTCAAAAAGTTTTTATCCTCTGATTTTTTTTCCTCATTGTATGTGCATTAACTATATGCTTATTCCTCATCTTATATGAAATACCTAAATAGGGACTATTGGCATATTGGATAATGTAATGATTTAAATTTCTAAAGTCGTCTTTTACTGTTTGTGTACTATCACCGTCTTAGTGAACCATTAAGAACTAATATTAACTTTAGCTAATTTAGAAATAATATCGATTACTCTGAGAGCTAGTCTGTAGTGTTTGCTTAAGGTATCTCAAATTAAAATGGCATTATGAGTTCAGGTTTCACTTTGTATTCACTTTATTTTTTAATTAGAATTTTTATAATTAGTAAGCATTTACATTTTCTTCCTCATACCTCTCCCCATAACTGGAAAAAGAAAAAGAAAAATCTTGTAACAAATATACATAATCATGCAAAACAAATCCCTATACTGACCATGTCCAAAAATGTGTCTTCCATTCTGCATATTTAGTCCATCATCTCTCTGTCAGGAGATACATAGTGTTATTGTTATGTCTTCTGGAATCATGGTCAATCATTTCATTGATCAGAGTTCTTTAAGTATAAAGTATTCTTCAGGGCGAGGTCATTTCACTCTTCATTATTTATGCTTGTTTTCTCATGTTTCTCCAGAACCAGTTTTTTTCTTCAGTTCTCACAGCCCAATAGTATTCCATTACACTCATGTACCATGATTTCTTAAGCCATTCATTAATTTATGGATACTGCCTTAGTTTCCAGTTTTTTGCCACTACCAAAAGAGCTGCTATAAATATTTTTGTTGATATTAGACTTTTATCTCTTTCTCTGATTCCCTTTGGGGTACTCGTGGAATCACAGGGTCAAAAAGTATGCACAGTTTAGTAACTTTTTGGTTATAGTTCCAAATTGCTTTTCAGAAGGACTGTTCCAATTTATAGCTGTGTCAATGTGCCCCTGTTTTCCTCTAATATTAGTCATTTTTCTCTTTTGTCAACTTTGCCAACCTGGTGGGTCTGAAGTACAACCTCAGTTTCTAATTTTTTATTTAAGGCAGTTGGGGTCAAGTGACTTGTCCAGGGTCACACAGCTACTAAGTGTCAAGTGTTTGGTCTGAGGCCGGATTTGAACTCAGATCCTCCTGATTTTAAGGCTGGTGCTCTATCCACTGCACCACCTAGCTGCCCCCTCAGTTACTAATCTTGATTTGCATTTCACTTTAGTGGTTTGGAGCATTTTTTCATATGGCTGTATCAATAGCTTGGTTTTTTTCTTAGAAAATTGCATGTTCTTTGATTATTTATTATTTGGCAAATGACTCTTGTTCTTGTGATTTTGAATCTGTTCCATAGATATCTTGGAAGTGAGGGTATCATCAGAGAAACCAGCTGCAAACATTTTCCTCCCATTTATCTGTTTCCCTTCTAATTTTGGCTACATTTTTTTTTACTGAAAAAAGTTTAAAACAGTTATATGTAATCAAAATTGTCCATTTCCTTCTCTGTGATCTTCCTTATCTCTTATATGGATGTGAATTATCCTCCTATCCATAGATCTGAAAGAAATTTCTTCTGTGTTCCTTTAACTTGTTTAGTATATGATTTTTTTTGTGTGTAGGTCACATACTTGTTTAGATCTTATCTTGGCGTATAGTGTGAGATACTGGCCTAAGCCTAATTTCTGCCAGTCTGCTGTCCAGTTTTCCCAGTAGTTTTTGTCAGATAATGAGTCCTTACCTGTGTAGCTGAGGTCTTTGAGTTCTTCTAAGTTTGCATGCTTTGGTATGTTATGTACCTAAAATATTCACTTCTAAAGGTATGTAACTTATAAACCTTAGAGGTTTGCTAAAGATGAAAAAAGTTAACATGAGGAAAGTGGGGTGTCTAGTGAGAGGAAGGATATGTGGTACCTCAATGGTTTAAAGTATTAAATACAATTATTTAAATTCACAGAGGCCCAGATCAGATTTCTAAAGGCAAAACTCCGTGTTATGCAGGAAGAACTGGATAGTCTTGTATATGATTGCAATAAAAAGGTAAACATTTTTAGACTCTTAGAATATCATCTGTAAGTAAATTATTGTGTCCATATATGTAAAAATATACTTTTCCTAAATATTTATAAAGCTTACTTTTATACATTTTCTAGCCTTTAAACTAATAATTAAATTTTGGGAGTAAGTTAGTTGTACAGTATTTCAAATTGTGAAATTTAAAATTGTATAAAAGTATGGAATATCATTCAATATATTCTGTTGTGAGATGTTTAGTGTCATCTCAGAGAAATAAAACATTTTTCTAATATGAGATCTCAAATTAGAATCTTTTAAATTAGAATTATATGGTCATTATTTGACTTGAATATTGTTTTTTAAAGATAAATATTGATAGTTTTCTGTTCTTCAGGAAACAGTTATAAACATCACACAATATTACATGATGTTCTTTTACTTAAATAGCGTACTAAATTTCTTTTGAAATCATGTATGTTCTTTTCACACAAACTAATATATAGTTATTTAACTGTAGGAGGATGAAGTAAGAAATTTAAAAGCCTCTCTTAAAGATATTAATGAAGATCGTGCTCGAATGGAGCGAACAATTAACATTCAACAATCTCAGATTGAAAAATATAAAACTCTTTCAGAGGAAGCAAACAAAAAATGTGATGGATTTCAGCAACAGCTGACTGCAGTAGAAAAGGTAATAATTTTGCATTCTTTGCCTAGAGGCAAAAATAGCCTAAAATCATTAATTATTCATACTTTTAGAGACAACGGGTTTTGTTGTACAATTATTTGTTCACTCGATATTTACTTAGGACTCTTCCTCCATAAAGTGGCAAGATAGAGGTAAAAGGTAGAAGGATGATTGTTCTGGAGTGATTAATGAGAATAGTAAGTGTTAAAAAAATTTTTTCTTTCAAAACTTTTAATATTAACATAAAAGTAATTAAAATACCAAATGAAGTATATCACAAACTTAGGGAGTCCAGCAGTTATACATACTAGCATCTAAAGTTAATAGTAAACATATCCAGATCATATTTCAATTAGGTGGCATATTATATTCTTTATACTAACTTTTAGTATGTTTATACAGTATTTATTTTCTTTAAATGTCCTAATCTTACATAATTGGCTTTTATCTTGTTAGTAAAATTTAATAAGGCAGCTCATATATCATTAAGACAGCTCAGAAAAGACTTGACAATGCAAAGAATGTTATTAAATCTCTGTTTCTCAGCCCTGGGCATTTTCACTGGCTGTGCTCCATGTCTGGAATGCTGTCTCTCATCTCTGACTCCTTGCTTCCTTTAAGTCCCATCTAAAATCCTATCTTCTATAGGAAGCCTTGTCCCAAGCCCTCCTAATTCTAGTGCCCTTCTTCGGTTAACTATTTTCTGTTTCTCCTGTATGTAGCTTGTTTGTGCATATTTGTTTGCTTGTTGTTTCCCCCGTTCGATTGTAAGCTCTTGGAGGGCATGGACTGTTTTTTGCCTCTTTTTATATCCTCAGTGCTTAGTGGTGAGAGTTCTCATATCGTTGAAATCACATCCTTCATATGTTGACATTGCATGCTTTGTTACCAAGTTTTAATTATATCTCTGCTCTTGGACTTATGTAGCCTCAATACCCATCTCTTCCTTTCTGATTCCACTACCATAAGTCTATTCTAACTTTTATTATCTCATACCTAGAAGTATGATAGCTGCCTAACTGGTCTCCCTGCCTTCACTATTTCTTTTCTAGTCATATCATTCACCACAGCCAGATTAATATTTTTAAAGCTCTGCCACTTCCAAGTTTAAAAGCCTTTAATGGTGTCTTGTTATCTATCAGATGAAAGTCTAAATGACTTGACATTCAAAGCCCACTGTAGGAAGGATCTACCTTGTTATTCTTATCTCATGTGGACAAGAGAAGTGACATTAATTAGGCAGTATAAAGAGCCCTAGATTTGGAGTCAGATCACCTGGGTTCAGATGTTGCCTTGGGCAAATCATGTAAATTTTCTGGACCTCCTTTTCATAAATTGAAGGGGTTGGACTAGGTGGGCTGAGGTCCTTCTGGCTCTTCATCTTACTGCTCCTTTTCCTTTTCCTCTGGCCAGACCAAAGCATTTGCTATTTCCAAATACTTAGCCTGCTTTCTTTTTTCCATTACCAATACCTGGAATGCTTCCTCCCCTAAAATTAATGCCACCTCCTCCCTGTAGCTTTCTCTGATTCTCCTCATATAGAAGTGATCCTTTAGTACCTCTCATGCACTTAACACAATCTACTTTCTATTGTATTTGTGTCAATGTTTTATCTCTTCTGGTAGATTGCAAGTTGCCTGTTGGCAGTGGCTGTGTTTTATTTATTTTTGTGTCCCCTTTCCCCCTAAAAGTCCTACTCTAATGCCTCATAATAGTATAAAGGTGATCCTAGGTTCTCAGATTCTTTGCTAATAGAGTGAAGGCTCTAGCAAGATCTTATCAAATTGGAAAATGAAGTGAGGTAATGGAATGTCTGCCTTTTGCTTGATAACCAGTTTACCTAAGTTTACCTAACGTTGATCACAACATTATTGATCAAGAGCTGGAAGGGCCTACCTGGTGCAAAATTCTCATTTTACAGACAGGGAAACTGAAGCCCAGGGAGTTTAAGTAGGTTAAAGCCCAAGACCACACAGGTGATCAGTATGGTCAGAGATTGAATTTGAATCCAGGGTCTTTGACTCTGGCATCAAGGCTCTTTCCAACACACCATGCTGCCACCTGGGTTTAGGAGGGTTAGTCACTAGGTAATAATTTTTTTTTGCCACAAGAATTCATGAAGACTTCTGGTTAAGATGTAGAGAGAGTAAAACTGGTAAGATCATGTATGCTTGTGAAGTATTAAAGTTTGTCTACCTTAGTGGGTAGTGCCTAATTCATATCATAGGCCTTGCAGATGCATTTGAAAGAATGAAAAATGTATAAACTCTTTTAGATAAGTTATTTATTCCCTGATTATTTATGAAATTAGAACATGAGCCAGTATCTTCAAACTGAACTATATATTTCTAGAGATCCACTTATAATTATACTCATTGCATTAAATCTCTAATTACCCATTTCTCATCTCAAAAACTTCAGATAAAAATTATTTTATCCATTGGTAGTATGAAATAAGCATACTTTTAACCAAGCTGTAGTATCCTTTAAGATCTATTTCAAGGCCTTTAGATTCCAAATGGGAATTTTCTGGCAGTTAGAATGGCAGTGCTTTCTCATAGCAGAAATTTTGATCCATTTACAATTAGTGGGATAAAAAATGTAAAGTACTTTGCCAACCTTAAAGTACTATGTAAATGCTAGCTATTATAATTTTTTTAGAAATAGCTAAATGGTACTGTGGATAGAGTGGTGAACCTGGGATCAGGAAGACCTGGGTTCAAATTGCACCCCGTCTCTTACTGGTTGTGTGGTAGTGGACAAGCCACTTAAACTCTGTCTTTCTTAATTTCCTCATCTGTAAAGTGGGGAATAATAATAGTAGCTACCTCCCAGGGATGTTATGAGGATAAAACTAGATATTTATAAAGTATTTTGCAAATCTTAAAGCACTGTATAAAAGCTATTATTATTATTAGTGAGGCAGCATGACAGTGGATAAGAGAACTAACCTTAGTCAGAAATAACTGGATTTAAGTCCATCCTCTGAAACATACTGACCCCGAGTTACTGGGCAAGTCGCTTGATCTCTTAGCACCCCTTATAACTCAGACTATAACTTGTACAGCTGGTGCTGATCTTCACTGGTATAGGGAACTTCCTCAACAGAAATTCCCTATATCATTGAAATCATAGGTCTGGTACCAAAAAATGGTGACTGATTAAACATTTTTTTTTGTTTGTTGTAGTGTGATCACAGCAGGTCTTTAATCTAACAATTCTTTCAAAATTCTGTCCTTTTTTATTGGAATGCCTGGCTCAGAAGTGTCAGACATGAAGTCTGTGGAATATATGCAACATGGGGATACTCCTGAGTGCAGCCTGAACCAGATTAAAATTTAATTGGAAAATATTTAACAAAATTTTTAAAATACAGTGAAATATAGATAGTGTTAATATGTGATTTTCTAAGTCAATATGTGCCTGCAGGTATTTTTAAGTACGGTATATTGGCCCCAGTTTTTGCTTGAGCTTGACACCACTGCCCTGGCCCATTGCAGTTTTCAAATCCTCTGGCCGTTGATACAATCATCATGTAGTCTTTGCAGTCCCATGTTCACAATATAGGTCCAAACCTAAGTGAGAAATAAAAATTAATTTCCTTTTTTAACATTTCCTTCCCCCTTTTATCGATCTGAAGTATGATACTGAGCTATCAGTGCCTCATAGAACTTCTGGGGAAGCATGTGTTTAGACTCCCAACCCTGGAGGAAATACGGACCTTCTAAATCAAGCACTCAAGGTACTTTCATAATGCCCGTGAACAAAGCGTAACAAGTCACTCACTGTTACATCGGTCTTGCAGAGTTATGTGCTGCTCCTTTATTGCTGCTCCTCTTTCTTTTTCTAGTTGCTGCAAATACCTTGAGGATGGAAGAGAATGCTCTTTTGTATAAAGAGCACAGGCAAAAAGAGCAGCTCTAAAAGTTTTGGGAGTATTAGAACTCTGTCATTTCAAATCTCTTTTGAGTGTCGTGGAAAGAGTTGTAACTTGAAAGATTAAGCAAGATGTTCACCTTCTACTTTGGATGTGACCTATTTGACTATAGGAAAGTCACTTAATCTAAGCCTCAGTTTCCACATCTGTAAGATGGGATAATGATATTTCTAGCACCTACCTAGTAGGGCTGTTATGAGGGTCAAATTAAATAATACATGTAAGACAGTTTGCAAAACTTACAGTGCTGCTGAAATGTTAACACTGATAATTATGAAATCATGGATCTTTTGAAGTAAGGTTTAAGTGAGGGTTATAAAGTCATTAGCAAGATGTCAGAGCAAAGAAAAAGAGCTTATGTATTACTGTAAAAAGGAGATGAAATGAGACAGAAGGAACTGTGGACTTTATAGCCAGTAGGGAATAGTTGTCTTTTTAGTTTGAACAGTCAAATAAATTAGGTTTGTGCTTAGTGTAGCTACCACCCACAAAGCTGTGAAGGAGGCTGGTGATAGCAGATGGTATACATACACAGTTTGATTTGTTTGGGACCACATACAGAACAGCATGTGTTTTTTTCTTTTAATTACTCAGAACCAGAAAGATTAGTTTTCAAATAAAACAGTAATACAGCCAAGAGAAAATTTATACTGAAGAGTACAAGCCAGCTTTTGATTACTTACCCTTGTAGAATGTACCTCGTTAGCTTAGAGCTCACAGTGATAAGGTATGGTGGACCTCAGGGGAAGAAAACATAGTTAATCAGGGGAGGAACATGGTAAGGGGTATGTGTGTGTGTGTATATGTGTCTGTATCTGTGTGTGTGTGTGTGTGTGTGTGTGTATGGGGGTGGGCCCTGGGCAGCAGCATTAGTGAGAAGGTCCCTGAGAAGGGGTAGTGGTCTTGATTGGTCCAGTATTAACACAGGGAAACCACTTGGAATGCAGCCATAAGAGAAAGTAAATGGCCCTAATTGTGGGCACCCCCGAGGCCATGTCTTCATCTCTTTGCTCTTTTCTCTGCACTTTCTCCCTTGGAGATGTTGCTCACTCCTCTGGCTTCACTT